GCATCTGTGGGAGTGCAAACAATTGGGAGCCCATTCGCCGCATGTGCTGCTCAGCACACTGATGTTTTTCAACACAAAGCACTTTAATCTGACGGTAAGGGTTGGCCTACACTTAAGCCTTCTTCCGGGCTATTTGTAATACTTTTTGTTTGCATTTTAGACCGTGGAGGAGCACATGCAGTTATCCTTCTCGCACATCATGAAGCACTGGAAGCGCTCATCGCAGAATTCTAAAGTTCCTGGGTCACGAAATGTGCTCTTACGTTTTTATCCACCGCAGGCGGGTCTTGGTAAGTTATAGCTTGAGTCATAACCAGAACGAATGCTAATAGTTTCACGTACCAGATGCTAATCCGCGGAAGAAGAAGGTTTACGAGCAGCAGGAGAACGAGGAAAATCCCCTGCGCTGTCCCGTCCGTCTTTACGAATTTTATTTATCTAAATGGTAAGTGGATTTGATCGTACAATTCTGCTTACAATCATTCTTCTAACGATATTCTCTGCACTGTTTATAGTCCGGAGAGCGTAAAGACACGCAACGATGTGTTTTATCTGCAGCCTGAGCGTTCGTGTGTGCCCGACTCGCCCGTTTGGTACTCGACCCAGGCACTCGGGCAGGACGCCCTGCAGCGCATGCTTCATCGCGTGAAAATGGTCAAGGAGATCAACATAGCGCTATTGACTACTTAATGTTTAGTTGGTCAGCAGGAGCAGATAAGAAGCATAAGCAGCAGCAGATATATGAACGTGTATGTGCTAGTATAATTGCCGGGCAAATAAGGCCTGAATCGGAGGAGTACTTTTCAACTTTGTGCTTAGCACAAACTTGTTTGCGGGCAAAACCAATTAAAGCTAAACAACAGAGAGAGAGAAAGCGGGAGAATAGGTCTAGACCCTCCTGCCAAAGGGGGAGATTGAAAGTGCTATACCATAAATTCTGTTTTTACTTTTTACTTTACTTTAATTTCTAATATTTCTTTTTGTATTCGTTTTGGACAGCGTCTAAAGAGGGCTGAATAAGAGTTGGGGTTGTATACATTTTTAAACGATAACCAAGTCTCATCCTAATCTCACTTGAAATACGAGAAATTCGATAATAATACACTAAACAATTCATTGACACGAAGACACGCAACCACAATTTCATTAGTTTTAGTTACTCCCAAGGCAGAAAGCAAACACACACAAAAACCACACATTTTTAGTCATTAATTAGATTGTGTTTAGCGTTAAGCAGAGCGAAAGGCAGTATGTATGATGCGCCCGTCAGAGGAGGGAAGGGGAGGGGGTGCAGCTATCCCGGGATAGCTAACGTAGCACCTAGTAGCACTAGCCCCTTCAATTGTAAGTGCATGTATGTATGTACATAAACATAAACCGATAAACGACTATAAATAGGATACAAAAAAGTAACAATTTAGCCGCTTAGCTGTTGTTGTTGTAAGTGTTTTACTTTTAAAAAATGCTGTACTCTCCTTAATTGCAACAACATCCATTATAAACAACAAATACAAACATACATACTGTAAAATGAAATGTGAAATTGACTACTACTGGGAGATCCATCACCTTTTGGCACTCAAACTGACTTTTAGAAGCCATCCACAGAAGGAGAACATCGCAAACTTTTGCTACTTCCACTGCAAGTCTCCCAAACACTGATGAGCCGCTGACAACTGGTAGATTTGATGCCACAAGTGTGTAGACATAATTTATTCATACAAAAATTAATGCGATTCTCTGTCCTGCGTGTAATACATGTGAATCGTGAATCGGATTGGTTAGATTTTTAGGGGCCACTCTCCTTTGGGGGAGCCACTCTCCACTCTCTAATAGTATATATATAATATAATATTTAAATATATCTTCGCTTGGTCATGCTCTCTGTGTGTGTCTGTCTGTGTTTCGTGCGGATGAGGCTGTTTGTTTTCGTGTCTTTTCTATTTTGTTTTTGTAGTATTTATCAACATTGCTGCCGTTGCTTTTAGATCAGCTTCTCCTCAACTCCGTTTACCATTCGGCGTCACCGTTGGATTTCTGGAACACGTAGTCCTTGCCACGCATGTTCATAATGCCATCTTTGAGATAGAATTTCCATTTGTTGCGGGAACGAGTGATCTACGAGGAGGGCAAAGAATTTGTATAATAAATATGTATAAAAATCAAGATATATTTGCCATTCCAGTACCTTATCGTACTGGCAAACGATGACGTTATCTGTGTCAAACGTTTCTGTAGAATCTTCATCGGTGACGTCGTCCTCGCTGTTGAGGGGCTCTTCCTCGGCGGCATCCTCTTGTTCCACATCATCATCATCGTCCTTGTCCAGATCATCGTCATCGTCGTTGTCGATGTTGTCGTCACTCTCCTCGCTCTCATCCTCATCGGACGAGTCCAGGGCGCCATCCAACTGCTTCGAAGCACCCATATTTTCTGGTAAATTCATCACAGGATTAGCACTAGCCACGAGAAGGGATATATGAGTAGACCTACTCTGTATATTGGCACTGGTGAGGGCCGCATTTACATGTTGCTGCAGCACTGAGGAGGCCAGGGTGGTGGGCAACGTCATTATGGATGAAATCAGATGAGCTGTAAGTATTTGGGTGAGCTGATTCTCCTGCAGCGCCGATGCGGGCACTTGTATGGTGAGAACACGAGATTCCGAGCTGCCCGAACCAGCCGTCGATGGCAGTGTAATCTGAAATCGAATCATAGGTCGTACCAGAACTTGAGATAAATGTCATTTAGAGCTCTCACATTCACGGGCATAATGCGATTGGGGTCCAGCGAGGCCACAATTGGAATGGGTGTCTGTCCACCTCCGGTTGCTTGCTGTCTCTGGGGCATGGATCCCCCCGATGTGGGATGCAGTGGCGGAGGATTCTGTGAAGTGACTTCCTGCTTGATGGGCATCTGTCCGTTCTTTAGGCCACTCCCAGCAGCACCACCACCAGCGGCACCGGGCGACTTGGCCGCCATCGACGAAGCCGGCAAACTGCTCTGTGAAGTTGCTGCGGCGGCCTTCTTGGCCTTGGCATTGGCAGCCTGCAAGTGATTCAAGGATTAGTGTTCTGTTGGGGGGGAGACTGACTCTCACTGGCAGACAAAAAGGCATTTGGCATTACCTTGGTGCTCTGCAGTTGAGGCATGTGCGTATGCGAATGTTTTTGTAGATAGATAGATAAGACAGATGTGTGTGTGACATGTAGTGGGGGGTTGGTGCGTTCGTGATCATGTTGATGGGAACAGCAGTTAGGAAAAGCAGCGCATTAGTCGATGGCGGTGTCGATGTAGCGTTGTTTTGCAGTTGTTGTTGGAGGACATAGGGAAGATAAATCAAGAGAGATCTTAGTCTGGAAATCTCTCTCTTTCTCTCTCTCCACAGACAGAGTGCAGCAGTTGACGACACAGAACATTAACATACAGTACAGAATTAGACATACGAACGAGAATGTCGGGAATGGACGCACAGAATCACACATCGGCGGTGGCGAGGCAACGATCACACACCTTGCTTACCTTTGGATTGTTGGCCACTATTGGCGGTGGATGGGAGCCACCCTCGCTCGGGTCCGGGGTCAATTCTACGGCCTTACTTGCCAGCAGCTTGTTGCGCCAAATCTGCTTCATCTCCTGCAGCACCTGTTCGTCGACGCCCTCATCCAGGAAGGCATCCCTCACATTTGTGATGACATCTTCGATTACGGCATGATAGACCTTCAGCTGAAAAAGGGAGTGGAGTGTATAAAATGCATTGGGCATGTTTAATTCAATTCGTTATACATAAACAATTATTTATATGCACACAGGCACACCGACTGCCGCACCAGACAGACAGTGGAACATTCAAATTAATGTGTAATTTCGTACCGGTATCGCAGAAGGAGCATTGTACTGACTGACTCCGGCTCTGTATTTAATATTTGTCGTACTATGCTTGGGAATTGCCTCATTCGTACCCGCGTAATGGAGAAACATACGCAAGCACCTTATCAGGGCGATAAGACGGGGCCGCCCCCACACCGATAGGGTGACAGAAGAAGTTATTCTTTGACGGGGGGTACTCCGATATGTGCCAAAAAACATAAAACACCTACGCCTTTCTTTGGGTGAACGTGGGAGGTGAGCGCCTAAAAAAACTGCAAGGCACTGACACCTACCCACACCACTACATCTACAGCGGACTGACACATGCACGCACACAGACCTGGCATACCATTGCATTGGCGCTGCACTAACGGTTCGTCGTGCTCATGCTCAGGAGAAAACTTTCACTTTCTTGGGGATAAGGGGAAGCGGTTCCCCAATACTCCTTGCTGCTTTTCTTCCATATGGCGGCACCCAAATTCGAGTGGTTGCCCCAGAAGGGTCTGCCGACAAGAATTCTTCCCCCCATATGGACTGGTATAGCACAGCTATCTCTCCATTGTCTTCACTCACCACAGAGGTTTGGCATAAAGCCATTTGGACCTTTTTCTCCGCCAGCTTGATTCTGTTCACTTCAGTTTGGTGCGCAAATTAGGTTTAAATTAATAATAAATTAGCAGAAAAATTAAATACGATGCGTTCGAGAGAGATGACAGATTAACAGTGTGACCGTGGGGAATTATCGAGAATATGCCGCACAACCTTTAAAAATATATCGTAAAAAAAGTATCACAATTCGTGAGATAGCCAGGAATTGTAGGGTTCCGAGGTGTTGGATGCTCGGCTTTATGGCCTATGATTGGCAGGCCATGATTGAAAAACTTAAAAGTCTTGACTGAATATGATTGAACCACTTGATTGATCATGATTGCGTAAATAAATGATTGCGTTCATATAATGAAAAGACCACTGTTCAGCAATGTGTTAACCGTTCCGTATACAAGGTAGGAAATGTATGAATTTAGGAACCTCATCACTTCTAATCAATTAATATAGCTATTTTCGCACTTTTTTCACTCTCAAGAGTGTGACCAGGCGGTCAGATGGCCATAGCTGGTTTTCCAGCCCTGATGGTGTTTGTTTTTATTCGACTCCCGCCCCCGCTCCAGAGTGTGCAACAGGTTATCACGGAATTTCCCCCTTTGCATCGTTCGAATGCAGCCCACTCTTGCATGAATCAGCGAAGTCCAGCTATTCAGCCCACAAGTGCATGATGAGCGGCTCAGAGACCGCCGAGGCGGCCCATGGAAATGCCAACAGGACCAGGTCCAGGTCGCACCAAGACGACACCCTACTGATTAGGCTTCTTCCCGTGTCCGCGCGTCATCAGCTCTGCGTTCATCTGGACTCCCTGGATGTGTGGCAGCAGCTGGCCACGGCCGTCAAGCTCTACCCGGAGCAGGTGGAGCAGATAAGACACCAGAAAGACCGCGGCCGTTCCCCATCAAACGAGTTTATGAATATTTGGGGGGGCCAATACAATCACACAGTCCAGAGCCTGTTTGCCCTGTTCAAAAAGTGAGTGCCGTGACGATCCGGTGTAGAGAAAGTTATAATAATCCTCACCCCAATCCCTTGTTCAGGTTGAAGCTGCACCATGCCATGCGAATGATCAAGGATTATGTGAGCGAGGATCTGCACAAGTACATTCCCAGGAGCTTGCCCACCATCAGTGACTTGCGTGCCCCGCCTGATTCCAACTCGAAAATAGACAATGGCCCGCCCTTTCCCTCCTCCTCAGGCGTCAGCAATTCGAACAACAATCGCACAACGACATCGACAATGAGCGAGGAAATTCCCAGCTTAGAATCCCTGGGAAACATTCACATCAGCACGGTGCAACGAGCGGCCGAGTCCCTGCTGAAGATCGATTACTTGGAGCTGGAACGTGCTACGGACAGCTGGTGTCCGGAGAACCGCCTCGGCCAGGGTGGATTCGGGGAGGTGTACAAGGGCGAGTGGAAGCAGCTGGACGTGGCCATCAAGGTGATGAACTACCGCAGTCCCAACATCGACAAGAACCAGGTGGAGCTGCAGCAGAGCTACAATGAGCTGAAGTACCTCAACACCATTCGACACGACAACATTCTGGCCCTCTACGGCTACAGCATCAATGGCGACAAACCTTGCCTCGTCTATCAGCTGATGAAGGGCGGCTCGCTGGAGAACCGCCTGCGGGCGCACAAGTCGCAGCAACCGCTGCCGGCGCTGACGTGGATGCAGCGTTTCAGCATTTGCCATGGCACAGCCAAGTAAGTCCCCAGTCGAACACCAGTTGATTTAACCCGTATTTCCATTCACCTTTCTAGAGGCATCTACTTTCTGCATACGGCACGCAATACGCCCCTCATCCATGGTGATATTAAGCCCGCCAACATTCTGCTGGATCAGTGCCTGCAGCCGAAGATCGGGGACTTTGGACTGGCCCGCGAGGGACCCAAGTCCATAAACGCTGTGATGCAGGTGAAGAAAGTGTTTGGCACGAGAATCTACCTGCCACCAGAGTTCCGCAACTCCAAGCAGCTCAGCACGGGCGTGGATGTGTACAGCTTTGGGATTGTGCTGCTGGAGGTGTTCACCGGGCGCCAGGTGACGGATCGCCTGCCCAAGAACGACCATCATCAGGATCTGCTGCACTATGTCAAGCAGAACTGGGCACAGTCGCAGCAGCATCGCCTGGAGCTGCTCGACAAGCATCTGCCCATGCCGCTGGGCGAGGAGCTGGACATGTGCCTGTGTGCCATCGAGATGGGCCTGCAATGCACAGCACTCGAGACGCAGGACAGACCATCGATGAACGGTGTACTCAACAGATTCAAGCCATTCCGCATTGACTTTTGATCCAAGATCAAAGATTATTGTTACTCGTATTTTATAATTTTTTAAGGAAGAGCATTTGATTTTAGCGTCAGTTGTGGTTCACCTGAGAGCCATTTATTATTTAGCAACACATCACAAAATACTCAAAGTAGTTTGAATTTTATTTGTGAGGGAGCTCCGGCCGGTCCATCCATCGATAGAGACCTCTTTTTACCCTTTTTACATTATTTAGCTTTAGCCCCAGAAATTCTCCATTTCATTCTTTAAAGTCTAATTCGTGCGTTTCGGGCAATGAATTTGAAAAATTCCAAGTTTTACAAACGCATTCAGGAGCTGCGACGCTTCTCGAAGGAGAAGATCCGCAAGGATCGTGAGCAGCGCACCAGCGTGAGGCTGGACATGGCCCTCAGTGAGCAGCGGCCTGGCCATGACTCTGATTTCGAGTGGTCCAGCTCCCCCCGGCGTCACATCTCACCACGCCGCCGCATTAAGAAGACCAAAACAAAAAAGAAGTTGGCCGGCACTCGTCTAACAGCTGGCAAGGACACTGTTTGCTCCAGTCCCGCTGACGAGGAACTGCAGCCAGATGACGAGATACAGAGCTACATCCAGCTGAACGACAAGTGCTATCGGCTGTCGTGCACGAGGCAGCTGGCTGGCAAGGACTCACGCGTTGATGCCAGCTCCATAAGCGAGGCCAAGAGCGCCATTTGTGTGTCCAACTCCCGCTACGCAATGATCGGCAAGATATCCAAGACGCTGGGCTATAAGTTGGTGAAGGAGACCAAACTGTGGAACATTCTCTGGTCGGACTCGTTCCCCGGCGTGGAGCTGTTTAAGAACATGAAGCGCTTTCAGCAAATCAATCACTTTCCCGGCATGATTGAGATCTGTCGCAAGGATTTGCTATCCAGGAATCTCAATCGCATGTTCAAGGTTTATCCGCACGATTACAAGATCTTTCCCAAGACCTGGATGCTGCCAGCGGAGTAAGTTAAGGTGTCGCCCCCTCCTGTTTGATACTTAAGTAATCCCACTTTATGTGTACAGTTATGGGGATGCCATGAATTATGCTTTGACCCACAAGCGCACCTTCATCCTGAAGCCAGATTCGGGCGCACAGGGACGCGGCATTTGGCTGACCAACGATCTGAAGACCATTGGAGCCAACGAGCGGCTCATCTGCCAGACCTACGTCCATCGAGTGGGTAACCCAGTCATCGATCTATAGCTAACCTTAACGCTAATCCCCTCGCAGCCCCTGCTAATCGATGGCTACAAGTTCGATCTGCGGGTTTATACCCTCATCACATCGGTGGATCCGCTGCGCATTTTTGTGTACAACGAGGGCCTGGCCAGGTTCGCCACGAACAAGTACGTGGAGCCCACGTCGGGCAACACCACCGATCTGTACATGCACCTGACCAACTACTCGGTGAACAAGCGGAACAGCCACTACGAGCTGTGCGACAACGATGACTGCGGCAGCAAGCGGAAGCTGAGCGCCATCAACAACTGGATGAGCAGACACAACTACGACGTGAAGGAGTTCTGGACGAACGTGGACGATGTGATCATCAAGACGGTGCTCAGTGCGTGGCCGGTGCTGAAGCACAATTACCACGCCTGTTTCCCAGGCCACGACAAGATCCAGGCCTGCTTTGAGATACTTGGATTTGACATTCTGGTAGACTGGAAGCTGAAACCCTACATTCTGGAGGTGAACCACTCGCCCAGCTTTCACACCAACGAGCAGGTGGATCGCGAGGTTAAGCGTCCTCTCATCCGGGACACGCTCAGTCTGGTCAGCGCTGTGCTGGCGGACAAGAGGCAGATCATGCGAGAGGACCGCAAGCGGGTCAAGCAGCGTTTACTCAAGACAAAGGGCGAGACGTAAGAAAATCTTTGAAACTCCATGTCCGATGATCCATTTACTACTCCCCTTGTCAGTTTGCAGCGTCCACGCGCCAACGGTGGATCCTCCATTGGCAAGCCAAAGATTGACGGCAGCCACACAAAGGTGGAGCCCGAGGAGGAGTTGGATTCGCTGGCCCAACAGATTGCCTGGGAGGACAGTCACATGGGCAACTTCCGCCGGATCATGCCGCCCGTTGAAGCCACCAAAGCCGAGTACTACAGCCAGTTCTATGGCCAGACCAACCAGGTGTCCATCTTCGCCGAGACGGCAGCCAGCAAGAAGCGGGAGGATCTTGCGCGCAAGATGCGCCTCCAGATCGAGGAGAAGAAGGCCAAGCAGGATATGATGCTGAATGGACGCAACAAGACTGACAAGCGCAAACGTCAGGTCGTTCTCCTGCCACGTGCAGTGCGCGAGAAGAACCGCGTTCAGCTCTACCGCCTCCAGGAGCACTGGGTGCCGGGCTTCATCTCCGATGCGGAGGAAAGACTGCGTCACACCTGGCTTCAGATGCGCTCCGAGGCGATCAGGTCGCTGCGTATTACCGAGAGTGTAAGTTGATGCCTTACTTGCCTCTTGCTATTTGCATTTTGCTATTTCCTTCCTCTTAGGTCTATGCCACTCTGTACGAGGCGGGAAATCTCAGCAACACGGACATGGCCGTGTATCCGCATCTGTATCAGCATCTGCAGAACGGCTTTGACATCAAACAGCACATATGAGATGCCAAAAAGGTGACACCCTATCCCCTCCACCACATTCCCACTCGGATCACATGAGATGTTAAATTTGTTATATGTTAAATTTTACTTGCTGATTAAAAGAAAAAACTTATTAGAGAAGGAAAGGGTTTCGCATTTATTTGGTTACCCATCGGATGCGGTCGATCTGCATAGAAGACCAATTAAATTGGGATTTACTTTCGGTTAGGAACAGGAAATTCCTGACAGATCCCTAGATTTGTAGTTATCTTCTTGAAGAAGAAAAGTTTAACCGAACCTAAGCCAAAGAGCGATTGCACATCGATAATTGAAAATTCTGAAATTCCCTGCAGAGTGGTATAAAAAATGTTTAACTTTGCTTAAATTGTTGGGTGGATTTGGGTGTATATTCACATCTATAGTATGAGCATATTCTCATCTACTCATCCGACACCTATGTTCTCCAGGATATCAATCAATATCCCCCATCTTTAAGATCTATGCATAAAATAGTTCCTCTACTTTTTGAATAGGCAAATTCTGCATTAAGAACTCTTTGACATAATTCTCTTCTAACATAATCTCAATTAGTGAATTTATTTCAGAGGTAATGCCTCTCAAATTAATCTCCCTGCATCATATGTGGTCTAGGAATGGATATCCCAGCAGTTTGCTCTCTCCGACTCCTATAGACTTGGCAGTCTGCCCGGCAAACAAATCTCATAAACATTTGCATTTTGGCGCGTGTTCTGTTCGAAAGAACCAACAGATCAAAATCGAGAGCGAGAGCGAGAGAATGTACTGAGCATCGAAAATCTTAAGAGCAATTCCATTGCGATTGTGGGAGGAGGAGGAAGACTCTTCCATGCTTCGTATTAGCATTGGATGGGAGAGCGCACTGAACTCAGTCGGGCCAAGGAGCAGCCACAGGGCAGTCCACACGCCAATTACAATCCGGAAAATATTTACAAAGCCGTAAAAAAGAGATTTGCCACAGAGTCAATTGCGGCATGTTCAAAGCGTCGCAGGAGTTGCGTCTGAATACCAATTCAGCGGCCTCTGCCTCTCTGGTTGCGAGTGCAAGTGGTGGGCTGGAGGGGCCGTGTGTGGAGAAAGATTGTATTTTTGGGCGCTACCAGCGCACGCCCGATGCTGGTGAGTCGACCGATGAGGAAGTAAACATCGATGCGAGGCGTCTATTTATATACTCCCCCGCAGATGCGTATCCCACGGAGCCGCCACGAGTCTACATAGCCCCCGAGCTGACCGACGCGAGTCGCGCGCAGTTGCTGCACTTTCCCAGCGGCGCTGTCCGCACCAATAGCTCCATCAGCTTCATCCTGAAGCGGAACGGTGTCAAGGGAAACTTTGACGTGCGGGTAGAGGGTCCCAGCGGCCAGCTGGAGGCTGTGCAGCAGCAGCAGTTAGACCCGGAGCGCTTTCAGATCGACTGCAAACTATCCTCCGGTGCAGGACTCTACAAGGTGCACGTCAAATGCAACTCCGTGTCTCTGCCGCGGTCTCCCTTCATCATTGTGGCCATAGCGGGGGCTCCCGAGACGTCAACAGATACGAAATCCAGCAGTCCAGAAGGTGGGTCCCAACCGAGTGTGTATCCTACAGTAGTAACCTTCGTCTGTCTTTCAGCCGTGACCATCATTCAGTCGGATGCCAGTAAAGTGCAGAGCCGTGGTCTGGGACTCTCCCACGTGAGCTGTCTGGAGCGGAACGAGTTCACCGTAGACTGCAGCCAGGCCGGCAGCAACATGCTCTTCGTGGGCATCTTGGGACCACGGGGACCCTGTGACGAGTTGCTGGTGAAGCATTTGGGCCGCAACATCCATCGGGTCACGTATCGAGTGTCGGATCCTGGGGATTACACGCTGGCGGCCAAGTGGGGGGAGCAACACATACCAGGCTCTCCCTTCAGCCTGGCCACCGAATAGGAATCAAGGGAGTTCATAGGAGGAGAAGTAGAATAAATGTGAATAGATGAAAATCTGATTGTGACCTTGTTCTTGCCTCCGTTCCTCTTCCTACCCTCGGCTTCTACGTTACGATGTGCAATTTAATGATGATTACACTGTGGCAGCAACAGCAGCAGCAGCGGCAGCAACATTATCATTTTTTGTTATTTAGCCCGGCGCTAATGACGTTCGCATTTGGGGCTGCCGCTGCCGTTGCTGTCGCTCCAACCTAATGATGATGACCGGCAAATACAGCCATGTGTTGGTGTATGCGTGTGTGTGTTTGTGTGTTATGCTCCAACAAAAGCAGTTGCGCATCATCACTGATGGTGCTGGAGAGAGGGGGAGCAGGGGGGCACATAGCCAGTGATGATGATGATAATGCGTTTGCTTTGTAGCCCGCCAGCCTTAACGAGCCGTGGTTGGTAGGTTGGGAGAGTAGGAGGGAAGCAGCCAGCTGCCGACTGAGACACAAGATAAATTGCGCTTGGCCAGGCCTCAAAATCCAGCTAGATAAATCACACATGGCGGGGGCTGGGGGCGAGTACACTACCATTATCTACGA